AGGAGGGTCTATCCAGGACAATTAGGCAGGAATATAAAATAAAAAGCATCTAAATTTGAAAGGAAGAAATGAAATTATATTTGCAGATAACATGAATTACATACAACTGACCCATGAACAACATGGGTTTGAGCTGCGCAGGTCCACTTATACTCAGATTTTTTTTGCTAAATACACACTACAGTACTACACCATCTGCAGTTGGTTGAATCTGAGGATTTGGAACTGCAGATACGGAGGGCTGACTGTAGTTATAGTTGGATTTTCAACTTTGCAGAGGGTCGGCGCCCCTAACCCCTGCATTGTTCAAGGGTCAACTGTGAAATCCTAAGGAACACACAAACTATTGATATTAGAGGTAATGGATGAATTCATCAAGTTTGACTGAAGATCAATATACAGAAATCAGTTGTGTTTCTATACACCACCAATGAACAAACTGAAAATGAAATTAAGAAACTAATTATATTTACAATAGCATCAAAAAATTAAATACTTAGGGGACTTCCCTGGTGGCGTAGTTGTTAAGAATCTGCCTGCCAATGCAGGGGACACGGGTTCGATCCCTGGTCTGGGAAGATCCCACACGCTGCGGAGCAACCAAGCCCGCAAGCCACAACTACTGAGTCCGCGTACTGCGACCACTATTTCACAGCTGACCCTTGAACAACGCAGGGGTTAGGGGCGCCTGACCCTCTGCAAAGTTGAAAATCCACCTATAACTCTAAAGTCAGCCCTCTGTATCTGCAGTTCCGCGTGCTGCAACTACTGAACCCCGTGCGCCTAGAGCCTGTGCTCCACAACAAGAGAAGCCAGCGCAATGAGCAGCCCATGCACCACAACAGAGTAGCCCCCACTCGCTACAACTAGAGAAAGCCTGTGTGCAGCAACGAAGACCCAATGCAGCCAAAAATAAATTAAAAGAAAAAATTAAATATTTAAGAATAAATTTAACAATCTTTGTACACTGAAAATGATAAAACATTACTGAAAGAAATTAAAGAAGACCTAAATAAATGTAAGGACATCCTGTGTTCACAGGCTGGAAGTCTTAATATTGCTAACATGTTAATACTTCCCCGACTGAGTAGAGTGGTGAAATCTTGCACCCGCCCCTCTGTCTTGCCTGGGACACAAATGATCCCTTTGTCCAGTGTATCCTGCCCATTAGTCACTTAGTAGCCATCTGGGTTATCAGATCATCTGTGGAGGCATCACAGTGTCTGTGTTCAAGTAAGTGACCCTTTTATTTTATTTATTTGTTTTTTCACATCTTTATTGGAGTATAATTGCTTTACAATGTTGTGTTAGTTTCTGCTGTATAACAAAGTGAATCAGCTCTATGCACACATATATCCCCATATCCCTTCCCCCTTGCATCTCCCTCCCACACTCCCTATCCCACCCCTCTAGGTGGTCACACAGCACCGAGCTGATCTCCCTGTGCAATGCGGCTGCTTCCCACTAGCTAGCTGTTTTACATTTAGTGACCCTTATTTTACCTAAGAATGGCTTCAAAGTGCAAGAGTAGTGGTGCTTGCGATTCAGGTACACCAATGAGAAGCCTTTAAGTGAAATGAAGTGCTTCCTTTAAGCGAAAAGGTGAAAGTCCTCAACTTAATAAGGAAAGGAAAAAAATTGTATGCTGAGGTTGCTAAGATCTATGCTAAGAACCAATCTTCTATCCGTGAAACTGAAGGAAAAAGAAATTCATGCTAGTTTTGCTGGTGCACCTCAAAAACTGCAAAAGTTATGGCCGCAGTGCATGATAAGAATTTGGTTAAGATGGAAAAAGCATTAAGTTTGTGGGTGGAAGACACGAACAGATAGGATTCAGTACTATCCAGGGTTTCAGGCGTCCCCTGGGAGTCTTGGAACACAAGCCCCGAAGGTAAGGGGTACTACTGTACTGCATGAATCCATTCACGTGAAAGTCCAGATTCGGCAAATCTATAGCGGCAGAGAGTAGGTTAACGGTGCCAGGGGCTGAAAGGGGAGGGGAAAGTGGGGTACAGGGCTCCTTCTGGGGGGCAATAAAAATGTTCTGAAGAACAGGCAGGAGCTGGCCAGGCAGGCCTTGGAGACCAAGGTAAGGAGGTTTGATTTTATCCTGGAGGCAATAGGCATCCCCTGAAGGGAGACAAGGTGGACCGCAGGTCCAGGATTGGGTGAGGGCACCAGGGGAGGAGATGCACGCGGGGTGGGAGGTGTTCAGGTTGGGAAGAGATGACTTAAAGGTGACCATGGCACATCCAGAAGGCGGAGGTGACAGGACGTGGCCTCAGGACAGAGGCCTAGAGGAAAGACACGATCTGAGTGCAGGCATGAGGGCAGCTGGAGCCCGCAGGGGCGGCTCACAGAGAAAGGCCCCCAGGGCAGCCCTGGAGCCCCACCTTAAAGCCCCAGGTGGAATGGGGTGACTTCGCAAAGGGTCTGATCGAAGCACAGAGGAGACCTGGGACAGCCAGCCAATTGCAGGAGGACGTCTGCAGAGGGTCTGGTCGTGAGGAAGCTGCTGGGTCTCCTGAGGTGGGTCCCGCCTGGCTCAGGACCTCCCCAGTCTTGTACCCTAACCTGCCGGGCCCTCACCCCATATCATAAGACAGGAGCCCCCTGTGGAAGCCAAAAGGTCTGCCCCTGGGCTTCCTTCTGGACCTCCAGAAGGGCTCCCTCTGATTCTTCCCTTCTTTCATTCAAGAAATATGTAGGAATATTCCACCACGTCCCTGGCTCTGTGCTGGAAAAGAGGCAGGAAGAAAGACAAAGCCTGTGCCATAGCGCTGCTCTTCTGGGGCATGGGAGGCAAGCGACCAAGGAATGAGCACTTACTACCAACACAACAGACACACACACTTCTAGATGCACCCGGCTGCCCACCGCCTGAGAGCCCCATGTGAGCTGGGCTCAGCAATAGTCCCTCTCGCATGAACTAGACTGAGGTGTCAGAAAACTCCAATAACAACGACTTAAACACAGTAGAAGTTTGTTTCTTTCTTGCAAATGAAGCCCAGTGGAGCAACCCTGGGCGACGGCTAACCCCAGTTTAGCAAGGGCTTTGGAGGGTCAGGGAGCCCCTGCTCATCTCCACCCCCAGCCTGGGCTGGAGCTCCCGTCCCAGACGTGCTTCTGGTTCCACGTGGCCCCGGGGAAGGAGAGAGAAGCGGCTCGGAGGGCCATCTTCTGTTTGAAGTCTCTGCATGGAATTCACTCTTGAAGCTTCTGCTCAGGTCCTGTGGGCCACAGCAGCCACACGGCCACACCTAGCTGCACAGTCTGGCAGTGCGCCTGTGCTCATGTCAAAAATAGGGTGCCGTGACTAAGGAGAAGGGACATGGGGGCCAGCAGCAAGCACCCTCAGAGTAAAGCCTGCGGGGCCTTATACTCGTCCCCTGTACGTCTCATCTGTATCTTTACAGCCTGACGTTTTCTTTCGTTTTAAAATGTATCGCACAAGTGACATCAATGAAAATCAGAGCAGAAATTCTGTTTCCCCAACATATCAGCTTCAAAACTCCCATGGCTCCCCTCCACCTCTTGTGTACGGGTAAGCTCAAAACAACTGATGACCGGACAGCTTTTGTCCTCACTTGTATGTTTCACGATGTAAGGTATTTTCATGATTTGCGTTTTAAGTGGCTGCCTAAGTCCAGTTGAAAATGACTGACTGGCGCCGAAGTGCAGGTAAAATGTGTGGAAGGATTTTGTATTATATGCCAGTCCACAAAGACAGAGACAACGGGAGACCACAGCAGAGCAGAGATCTCTACGCACCTTGGAAGATGGGAAGCCCACAGACAGGCGGTGCCTGCCTTATCAGGGGAGATTTCCGAGAGAGGCCAGTCTGGAGGCACTTCTGGGGGTGCAGGGTATGGGGCTGCAATCCTCCTCTAGCCTCAAAATGACTAGACGACAAGCAGATGGAAGCCGGGCTGCTAGTCACAGTGGGCCTCCAGCACCCTTGCCCCACCCCATCCCTCACACTCTGCACACAGAGCACACGTGCCCTTCAGCAGTGAGAAGCCCCAAAGTGAACCCCTCCAGGTGCTGCCCCCCACTGTGGAGTCAGGGACCCCCAGCTGTTGAGGGGGTCCCCTAGGGAGATGAGCCCCACCATAGAGGTGGGCCTGGGCAGGGGCCGGGGGCGAAGCTTCCTCCCCGAGACTTGCCAGGCCGCCCCATCCCAGGATGCGGTCCCAAAGGAAGGGAGGCTGGTCCTGGGCTGATGCTCCAGGCAGTGCATCTCTGTCTCCCTTCCAACTCTGAGGCCTGTAGGAGGTGGTACCGGTCTCGCTGCCCTGTGGGGCGCTGGCAGGGGCACCTTGGCCCTCCCGTGAGGTCTCTTAGCCTCATGTGGCCGTGACGTCACCAGAGGGCTACACTTTGCTTTTCTCCCCTCCCGAATGGACACTGGACACCCCAGTCCCTTTCAGGGGTCTTGGTACAACCAGTGACCTCTCTGTGTACCAGCCCATCAGTGCCCCCCGCCAGCCCCCGGTGCTCAGGTGGTGCTGGCTGGGCACCCGGCCTGGGCTGGTCTGGCCCCCAGGAAGCCGGGCCAGGGGCGCCTCCTGCCCTACCCCAAGCCCACACGAGGTTCTGGTCTTGGCTGGGGCGCCATTCTCCTCCTCTGGAGGGAGCCAGCTCCAGCTCCTTTGACCTCTTAGCTCCAGCGCTGAAGACTGTGCTGTGTGGTCTCTGGGTGTCTCAGCTCCTGTCAGGCCTCCCAGCCCTGCCTGTCATGTTTCCTCTTGCACAGCACTGGGCCATGATGCGCAGAGACCTCCAAGGCCAGGAGAGTGCACCTGGGGCTGTGGCCAGGTCTGCCTGTGCCACTTCCACACCCCGAGCATCCACCCAAGGACCTCTTCCCAAGGCTGATACAGCTGGGGCCCTCCCTCTCGCCATCAGTAAGTGGACCAGAAGGGGCTGAGCAGGGTGTCTAACCCTGCGGGCAAAGCCTCTTGCTACAGGCCCCGGGGCCCCACAAACAGGGCAGACAGTGTGACCAGGAGCCCGAAGGGCAGCTAAGCAGAACTGTTTATTTCCCAGGAAGGGAAGAGCATGGGGCGCGTGGGGGATTCCCACCTGCCTTCAGCACTTCCAGAAGAGAACATTCCAGAAGAGGAGCCAGCAGGGGAAGAGGCCCAGCGCCAGCAGCGGGAAGAGCAGGGCGCCATAGGTGTGGTGCGCCAGCACGCCCTGAGCCAGCACGGCCAGGAAGAGCCGCCAGCCCTCGGCCAGGGAGAGCGGCGCCTCCTGCAGCCGCTGCCACAGGAACAGGCCGCCCAGGAGCGCAGCTGCTGGGCTTGTCAGCACCAGCAGGGCAGCACGGAGTGGCCTGCGTGGAGAGGCAAGGTCAAGGGGGGCTCTGGTGGGGGAGGAGGAGTGACGCGTGAGGGGGAGTCTGTGGCGAGGGGCAGAGGCCCCGGAGGTGGGGGGCACGTCGCGGCAGGCTTTGTGGTGGGGACTGACCAGCACATACCGGGGCCTGGAGGGCTTGGTGAGTGCAGCGCCGGGCACCATGGTGGCAGCCAGCAGAAAGCCCAGAGAGAAGTTGGTGAGGGTGATGCAGGCCAGCTGTAGTGCCAGGTAGATCAGGGCCACCAGCTTCAGCGCCATCCAGCTCCTGTCTGGGGCCTGTGTGCTCAGCACCCTGCAAGGGAAGGGGTTCAGGGGCAGCCGCCTGCGTGTCCAGGGTGCACCCTGCCCGCGCCCATCCAGCCCAGCTCCTCACCAGTGGGTGCTATGTGGAAGGGCCAGGCCAGCTGCATAGACGGCCAGCAGCGTCAGCACCACGGCCTCTGCCTCAGCCACAGGGAAGTGCTGGGCAGCCACGTGTTGACCCAGCACTGGGAGGACGTAGAGGGCCAGGCCCACAGCCTGGGAGATCAGCAAGGGTGCCACGAGCGAGGCCAGCCCCACGCGCTGCAGGGCACATGGGCACTTGGAGACAGATCCCGGGCCGGGGCGTCCCAAGGATCCTCACCATCCCGCCACCAGCTGAGACTGAGTGGCAGCAGTAACCACCACCCGGGACCCCAACAGCAGGAGTGGGGGGCCATCACCTGTGTTGCAGGGAGGGGAGGACTGGACCCAGGGGTCCCCGCAGCCTCCTCAGGACCCACTCCAGCCTCATGCAGCTGCACCCACAGTTCCAGAGCGTGGCTGTGAGTCAAGGACCCTGACAAGGGGTGTGATGGGCTCTGCCCAGCGGGGGACCCAGGGCTCACTCCCACTCCCCCACCCCGAGGCTGGAGAGCTCTCCCCAGCCTAGAGTGGGGGGACCTGAGGCTGGCCACAAACGGACAGCGGGAAGCAGAGGATATCTTGAGACCAAGGACCAGGAGCAAAAAGCCGGCGGCAGGCATGTAGAGGCCGATGGAGACGAAGCGGGAGAGCGCGGGGAGCAGGTAGAAGAAGAAGGACTGGTGCAGGCGCTCCAGGAGGTGGTTGAGTTTGCGGAACATGCCCTCCAGAGCCCTGCCGGGAGTGGGCTGGGGTCACGGCTGGCCAGACACCCCCGGGCACCCACTACCCCGCCCCGAGTATGCAAAGGGCAGACCAGAAGGCACTCACTTGCCGACCGCCACCAGGTCATACTTATACTGGCGGAAGCTATTGACGCCACGGAGAGTTAGAGCCTCCACGCGGTAGCGCAGGAAGAGGCCGTGGGCGCCGTGGGGGTGGCCAGAGGCCTGCTGCAGAGCCATGAGCAGCAGCGTTTGCACACCCTGCAGCGGCCCGTCCGCTGATGTCCAGTCCTGGAGCTGCAGCTTAGACAGCGTGAGACAAAGTCAGATAAAGCCTGCACAAAGGCCCCGTGCTCCCCAGGCAGGTGGCCCTACCTTGCCCTGCAGCGTGCACAGGAGCCCCCCTTTCTGGCAGAAGGTCTGGAAGAGGTTGAGCAGGTCCAGGTTGGGCAGCTGTCCGTTGAGTCCCTCCACAGCCACGTCGAGGCTAGTGACCACATCACTGCTCAGCTCCAGGGCCACGGCTGCCTGGATGGCCCCAGCCCGGCCCTGCAGAGGGGATGACTGCATACCTGTAGAAGCAGGTGAATGAGCTGCCAGTGAGGGGCTGGTGAGGACAGTGGCTCTGTGGGGGCCAGGGCAGGGCAAGAACACCCACCAGTGACATTGACGTCGTGGTAGGCTTCAAGCCAAGCCTCAGAGCCCAGAAGGTCGTGTTCTGTCACCAGGAAGATGATGTCTTTGGCCCAGTAAATGTGCCCTAAAGACCAAAAGCAGGGTCAGCAGGGCCTGAGGCGGTGGCCAAACCCTCCCTTGCCAGCAGTGGCCCCTGAGCCTCACCCCGGAAGTGGGCAGCAAACCCTCCCTTGCCAGCAGTGGCCCCTGAGCCTCACCCCGGAAGTGGGCAGCTAACCCTCCCTTGCCAGCAGTGGCCCCTGAGCCTCACCCCGGAAGTGGGCAGCAAGTGCCAGCATCAGCCCCACAGCCTGGCTGTTGGGAGACTCAGGGCCACAGGGCACGGTGAGCACCAGGGACTCAGTGCTGGCAGCGCGCGGTGCCCGAAGGATGCCGTACACGTTGATGCCCGACACCATCTGCATGCAGTATTGGGGAAGCCTCAGCACGGCCCCACTCCAGATGGCTGAAACCCCTCCCCTTTAGCCCTTCTCTGGCCCCAAGACATCCCCCGCCCCCCTGCAGCCTCCTGTGCCCAAGGCCCCCCCCCCAAGTTGCTTTTTGGTCGCAGGCCCCCCCCCCCCCCCCCCCCCGCCCCGCCCCGCCCCGCCCCGCCCCGCCGCGCCCCCCCCAGTACATAGCGCTCGTGAGTCTCATCTGGAAAGGGCAGTTTCCGGGAGAAACTCTGCGTGTAGACCTCCAGCCCCACTGACCGCATCGTCCGCTCCAGCCAAGCCACTGGCAGAGCCCTGGAAACACCAAGAGAGCTTCTGAGCAGAGCTCTCTGGCCTTGACTGGCATTGCTTCCCCCATACCCACGGCTCTGTCGCTCACCCCGACTTCCTGCGGTGGGCAGCGAAGTCCCGGGCAAAGCTTCGGGCACGCTCTCCGCCCGCAAACTGCTCCTCCACCATGGTGGAGCCCATGGCGTTCTCCGACATGTAAGTGCGCTGGGTCAGCGGCGGGAAAGCCAGCGCCAGGAACCAGGCGATGCCCGCCACGTAGCTCAGCACGCTGCGGGGAGAGGGACGGAGGGACCACCGGAGCGTTAGCGGGCCCTGGCACCCCGGCCCGCAGCCTCTACCTCTGCACTGGGGGTGGAGGGAGCACGTCTCCGGGACCTGGATCCAGAGTCCCGGTACCCGGGACGCCGGACGGGAGAGCTGAGCCCCAGGCCTCAGGCCCCGAGTGATGCCGGCGAGCGGGAGGAGACCGGCACGCGCTGCCGGAGGGGTCCGCGCCCCCCGCCCTCACCAGAGCGGCGCGTTGAGGCGCAGCACGAGGCGGGCAAGCGCGCGCCGGCGCACCGGGTCCGACAGGAGGCCCATCGCAGGGCCGGGCGGCTCCGGGACCGCGCTCCCGCTGTCAGGTACGGCCGCCGGCCGGGCACGCCTCTCCTGTCAGGCCCTGGGCTGCACGCCGGCCCCCACTTCCGGTCCCGACGGCCCTCACGCCGCTGCGCCTGCGCCGTCCCCCTAGTCACCCCCGCCGCGCATGCCCAGAGCAGAGCCGCTGTGGAGGGAGCGGGACCCGGGTCCGGGTTTCCCCGCCTGCGGAGAGCGTCTTCCAGGCAGGTCGACGGCATCGTGCAACGCTGGAGGGCAGTGAAGACGACGGGCCGCTCGAGAGAGCTCGGCTCAAAGGGGAATCAGAGCAGGATGAGTAGGGCAGGTGGGAGGAAATCCGGAAGCGGCGACCAGAGCATAGACGCCGGATTTCCGAAGGTGCTGCCACTGGCAATGACAGGTCTGAATGCCGTGGTGGGAAGGGAGGGGGCTTCCGTGAACTGAGAGACCAAGGCATTGGCGGACCCTTTCCTATGGATGTCGGTCACCAAAAACAGCCGAGTGGAATCACAGAGTGTGCCCAGAACCGAGGTCATTGGGGTCAGATGGCCACAGGGAGGAAGGTGCGTGATACTACTGGCCAAAGGGGTGTCAAAGGAGCTGGGGTGTGTTAAGTAGAAAGTGGGGCGCACCCCTGTCCAGGCCAGGAGGTGCCTGGGATATTGGAGGAGAAGCAGCCCCTGGGTAGGCTGCAGGGGGCTCGGGCAGGTCTGAGGGCAAGTGGTGGGAGAAGGGGAGTCTGAAGAGGGAGGGGCAGTGGTGGGGCAGCAGGGAGTGTCTGTGTCTGACTGATAAAGGATCAGAGCTGAGAAGACTCCAGGCTAGATCATGTGTCTGTTGTACTTTTGGAGCCCAAGATAAGTAGCAGGACAGGCCCAAGAGATTCCTAGGGGGAAAGAGAGCATTCAGTCTAAGCCGTAATCCAGAGGATGTGGGATATGGGCCCCTACAGCACCACGGGGGATGCCACAGCCAGCTGAGTACTCCCTCAGCACTTGTGCTCAGGGCCCTGGAGGTGCCGGGGTGAGAATGGCAGACTCCACGGTCTCAGGGCTTGGCTCATTACACCAGGCCACGTCTCACTGCCCAGCTGCCTTGACCCCTTCCTGGCCCAAGCTGCTGTCCTCACCCAGGGACATCCCCTCCTTCTTCAGGCTTTGACTCCTGAGGCTGCAAGGGGTATGCAGTTCATGTGTGGGGGAGCATCCTTAGTCAGCCCTGGAGCCAGCACCAGGCCAGGCTTTGAGGGCATGAAGTGCTGCGGGGAGAGATCAAAGTACAGTGCAGTGTGCGTGGGTTTTATTCTGGCCCTGGGTGGCCACGTGCTCAGTCCCCCAGCAAGATAGAGGCCTCCTGGACGTGCTGCCGGACCACACGGTCCAGTAGGGTATGTACATCTCGGGCGGCCTGGGCAGCAGTCTCTAGCACCTGCTCCAGCTGGTCCTCATGCAGCCTGGCATCCATCTCAAGCAGTGCAATCTGGCCTGAGGACGGGAGCAGGGCCAGGGCCAGCTGGGGGCCGCCAGCTGCTTCCTCCACGTGGCTGAGGTCTGCCAGGGCTGTCCCATCCACAAAGCCAGCTGAGCAGGCACACACAAAGTCCCGCATGGGTATCCCTGCATCCAACACTGCCAGCGTGGCTGCATTCACACAAGCCGCGTAGGTGCCACCATCTGCCTGCAGCACCTGCAGGGACGCCCCCCAGTGGCATCAGTCCATTAGGCCGCTGACCCCATCCCCACCCCCACACACACACCCTCCTCCTCTCTCCCCTCCCTGGGTTTGAGGGCTGCTGTCTGCTCACCTGCACATAGATATCAATCTGGGAGCGTGGATGCAGCTGTGTAAGGACAGCTGCCTCGAAGGTTTGACGCAACTGTAGGCCCATCTCGCAGGATTTACGGTCCCCGTGTGGCCGCCGCTTGCGCTCACCTGTGCTGAAGGTCGCAGAACTGTACTGACAGTTCACCAGGGCCCTGTCAGGCAGGGCTCGTGCCCGGGAGCCCCGGATCTGGGGGAGGGTTGGGGGAGGACACGTGAGCCAGGCCCACTCCTCCCAGCTCACACTACCCCTTCCTCTGGCTCTTGCCCTGAGCCTTGGCCTCCCTCCCTCCCGTCCCTCTATCTGCAGCGTCTCAACAAGCAACTACTTTACCTCCAAAACATAGCCTGGGGGAGGGCCACTGGGCCAGTCTCCAAGCTACCATCACCTCTGGATCTCACCTCTCTCCTAACAGGCCTCCCTGTTTCCATCCTTGACTCATCTTCTCCCAACCCACTCTCTGTTTGTATCAGAGTCTGTTTACAAATATCAAGTCTGATTCTGCCTTCTCTAGGCAATACATATACTACTTACCTTTAAAGGCTTCCCACCACGTATGAGACAAAAATCCTAAATCTTTTCCCTGTTCTACAAATCCCTCAATCTCATTTGGAAATACTCCCCACCCTCCCCACCATCAGCCTTTCTGATCTGCAGGCGTGTCATGCTTACTCTTCCACCCCTCTGGCCTTACGCCTCCAGCGCTGGAGTGGCAATATACCCAGGCGGCTTTATTTACAGTCCCTGTCCTCACGGAGTTTGTTCCAGTGGGGAGACAAACGGTGAGAAATACGTTAAATTGATGTCTGAGGAGGCGGGTGCAGAAAAGCAGGAAGTGTGTGAACGTAGGGGAGGGAATCTGACAGGTGAGTAAGGTGATCTGGGAAGGTGTCACCGGAGGGTGACGTCGGAGTAGAGCTGAGTGGTGAGGGAGCGAGTGGGAGCGCACCTGGCGGGTTTAGGAATAGCAAAGAGGAGTGGAGGGTGCAGGGGACAGTGGCCGATAAGAAAGGCAGGGACCATCGTGCATCACACTGTTAGGACTCTGGCCGCGGCCCCACACGGAGGCGCGCGCCGGCCTCACCTCCCGAGCCTCTGCGCAGCCTGGCGGCCCCGCGCACCCCACAATTGCCGCCGCCGCATTTCTCTGCCCGCCCCGGAGGAAGCCCGGCTCGCGCGCGCCCACTCGCCTCGTGAGGCCCGTAGACCACCGCTAACGCCTTGGTGTTGCCCTGCTCGATGTAGGCCGAGCCGTCGGCCTGCGCAAATACACCCATCCGCGCCTGGATCTTACGCAGCTCCCCGGCGCGCCGCCCGTCCACCCGGTAGCCCTGGTCCGACAGAAGCTCCAGCCCCGCCATGCCGCCCGGCCGCTAGCCCCGTTTCCGCTCTCTGGAGAACTACAGTTCCCGGCGGTCCGGATGCCCCACTTCCGACCTCCGGGGTCCTACGGTTTCCGGAGCGCCGCCTCCCATTTCCGGTGCCGGAGAACGATGGTTCTCCCAGGGTTCCCGACGGCGCCGCTTTCCGCACTTCCGGTCCGCGGGGAGGTTGGGACTACGGCCGGTTGGGGTGGCTGTCCCGCGGCTGCTAGGGGTGGAGACCCGCTGGACGTGGAATCCCCACGTCGTTTCCCCCCGGGTTTGTCGTGGGGGCGGTTCCCACGACCCTCGGGGCCTACCCGCCCTGCGTCGCCTTGGTCGCCGCCGGCGCGCGCCTTCTCCCGGACCCAGAGTCCCGGGCCTCCCGCTGCGCCCGCGACCCGCTGGCCCTGCCGCGCCTCCGCCTCTCCCTCTCCCTCTGCGGCCGAGCCCCGCTCGGACCCCGCGCAGCCGGTGCGCCTCTGCTTCTCTTTGACGCCAGGCGTCTTCCTCGAGGTTCGCGGGTGAGAGCCGCGACTGCTGGAATGATAGCATCGTTTTGTCTGACGGCTTCTGTTCTTCCGCTCTCGTAAATGCATTCGTTTTCCCAAGCTGAGACACATTCTCTGTTCTCTTGTTTTTTACCGTTTAGTTTTAACAATTGTCCATTAAAAAAAAAACCCACATAGTTTATATTGTACATACACATGGTTGTATTTTTTAGAGCAGTTTTAATTTTCTTTTCCATGTTGCTTTGGTTCTTCACTCCGTACGACCCCACGCCCCCCAGCATCTGCCGTAGCTTAAATACTGGTTTTATGATTTTCTCCACACACATAATTACATACAAGTCACAACAAATGTGTGCAGTTGTAACGTACAGACATATAGGGGCTTTTGGAACTCTGCTTATTTTTTTAAATGGGATCATTTCGTACACACTTTTCTGTTTCTCACTACAAAATACGTAGTGAAATCTGTCCAGATAATCCTGTGGAACTCTTAATTTTTTGCTTGATACTCATGGGGTGGATGTACCAGAATTTACCCATCTACTGCCCCACTGTGGGCAGTGGGTGTGTGTCCAGGGGCTTGGGAGATGGAACCCCAGGGTAGGGACTAACTGGGTGAAGGCTGTAAGTGTGAGTTACATTTTCCCTCCTTTCCCACCAAGAAAAAGTTACAGTTTTTACATAATCCTTGCCAACCTGCAGAGTGTTGCTGACATGCTGTAATCACTCATGCATCTCTTTGCCTGATGTAGTCCAACATCTTGTGTCGGTCAAGTCCCCTGGAACTGTTGAGGGGTCTACAGAAGGGAGAAATGAGATGCTTTTCTCCCTAGCTGCCTCCTGTTTCCAGGTACCTCTGTTTCTCGGTGGTCAAGGTTATTACCATCAGGGAGTTCATCCCCCTCGCCACCGCCCCCCACTCCCACCAGCTGCATTATTCAGCCCCTCTGCAGTGCTTAGGAAGCCAGATCGTTCAATGTTGAATCTTGAACGTGGAAGGATGAACCAGCAGGGTTACAACACTCACCAAGAGGAGGTGGCATTCACAGGGGCCTAGGAAGGGGCACAGGCCTGTGTCCCAGCACCGCCTGCACGTAGTGTCTTTCAGGTCCTCTCATGCTCCCCCATTACATCCAGCTCCCACGTGCAATACAATGGGCCTCCTTTTTCCATTTGAGAGTGAAGAGATCCTCACCCTTTCCAGAAGGGAATTGTATGGGGTTGTGTGTCTGTCTGACTCTTGATGCATGGCCTTAGTGCCTTCAAATAACAAAAAATAAATATATTATTGAGGTAGGAGGTAGATGGGCCCCTGGGCTGAGCAGCTGGAATTTGTCAAGCCGAGTGAATTGGAGTTTGTCTTCCCCTGACATTTTCAAGGAAAAAGTTAATGGCAGGAG